GAGATTTCTCCCCTTCATCTCCAGAGTCTGCTTGCATGGTGAGTTTCTGCAGAACCCTTTGCATGGGTGGGGTGAGGCCGACTTCAGGTAAAGCAGGGCAGTTCACAGAGAGCTCCCTGCCTCCTTGGACAGTTGTCCCGGGAGTGCTGATGGGTGGACTAAGGACATTGATATTAGGTGTGGATATTAAGTGGCCCCTGTGAGCTGAAGACACCACTAGAGTTTGTTTCATTTCAGAATTCCACCCAAAAATGGAAAAAAGAAAAAGAATTCTATGTACTTTTCTGTACTCCTGAACTTACTATCAACAATTATACAGATTTAAAAAAAAAAGAAGAAGTAGCTAGGTGTGTTGGCACACGCTTTTAGTCCAAGTATTTAAGAGGCAGAAGCATGTGGATCTCTGTGAGTTTGAGACCAGCCTGACCTACAGAATGAGACCCTGTCTCTAAAACCAAAGCAACAGTAACAAAAGAGCTAAATGAAAACGAACTGAAGAACCCATCCTCTACTCACACCTTGTGACTCTTGATTTTTTTTTTTTCTCCTCTGGAGAGAGACTGCAGGCTGGGAGTGGAGTCAGCTCCAGGCAGCTTAGAAGGCTTTATCAGGGTAGCAAAGCCAGCTTCAGAGCAGAGGCAGCATAGCAAAGCCGAGCTCTAAGCCAGAAAAAACCCTGCAAAAGTCCCTTCCTGGCCTCCTGGGACTGGCAACGGAGGGACGGAATTACAAGGCATGTTCAGGGCTTAGGGTTGGATCTGAGCGGCACCTCCCTCTGTCAAGGTGGTGTTGGGGGAGAGTGGGTGCAACAGGAAAGGGTAGTTGGTCTGGTCGCAAGGGGAGATCTGGGAGCATGGATACCCATCTATTTTTAAAATCCATCCATTTTTTTAAAAAATTAATGTATATGGGTATGTATATATGTGTGCGCTGTGCCTGCGTTTGGTACCCAAAAAAGCTATAAGATGGTGCCAGATTCCTTGATCCTGGAGTTACATATAGTTGTGAGATGCCATATGGGTGCTGGGAATTGAACCCTGGTCCTCTGGAAGACCAGCCACTGCTGTTAACTGCTAAGCCATCTCTCCATCCCTGTGGAAGAAAAAAATCAAGGTTTGTGTATATGTGTATGTGTGCACGTGCGTGTGTCCATGCCATAGCTCATGTGTGGAGGGTGGAGGGAAACACACAAAAGTCAGTTCACTCCTTTTACTGTGTGGACAGAACTTGGGTTGTTAGGCTTGTCAACAAGGTCTGGGCACTAGAGAGATGGCTCCTCAGTTAAGAGCACTGGCTGCTCTTTCAGAGGACCCAGGTTCAATTCCCAGCACCCATGTGGCAGCTTACAACTGTCTGTAACTTCAGTTCCAGGGGATCTGGTACATTCAAACCAATGCACATAAAATAAAGTTAAATGAATTAATAAAAATATATAAAAAATAAAAAGGATTTTAACCTTTTTTTAAAGAAAAAAAATGGTCACCTAAAAAATGTGGCACCATTTGCTGTGCCCTCAACACCCACCTTCTTTTCTGGGTCACTCCAAGAATATGTGTAGAAAGCTTTAGAGAGGAAAAGGGAGGGGACCTGGGTTCCAAACCTGCTGGGCATATTCTATCCCCATATGTGCCTCTGATAACGTAGACCCTGGCAGGGCTGGTAGGAACTGGTAGACTGTCAGCTTGACTGGCCTGGGACATGCCTAGCAGACTGTAGAGCACATCTTTCGGGTGTTTATTGCATATCTCTGAGGGTGTCTGTGATGTTTCTCCAGAAACAGTCAGATCACGAGGGTTCCGACCAAAGGAATGGATTAGCAGGACGGCATTGTTGAGAGAAGGCAAAGGTAGGAGGTGGGGCCTAACCAGATGAATTAGGGCCCTGAGGGTGTGGCCTTGCAGTCTCTGCAGCCCTGGCCCAGTCCTGAACCCTTCCTCTCAGCTTCCGGCCTGCCATAGTGTCACACCTTGCCTCCCACAATAGGCCGAATCTTCTGAAACTGAGCCCAAGTAAATCTTTGCTCTTCTAAATTGTTTTCTCAGGTGTTTTGGTCACAGTGACTCAAAAGTGCCTAATACAGTAGTCTAGTGTTTCCCTTTTAACCACGCCTGGAGGAGTCGCCTCCTGGCCAGCGTGGGAGAGGACCCGCAGGTGGTGCTGAACCTAGCAAGAAGCCGCTCTTGCAGGCCCTCTCACTTCCTAACACCCTCTTAGCTGATCGCACACTGCACATACCTTCACAGGCTTTTGGTGCGGGGGACCGAAACCGTAGCTTTACACATGCTAGGCAAATGCCCGACCGCTGCATGTCCCAGCTCATGCCTCGCTGAGTTTTCATGTTGAGATTTAAAAATCCCCAGTTAAGAGGCTCTCAAACCAACCAACCAACCAACCAACCAACCAACCAACCAACCAACCAACAAAACCCCCCAACCAACCAACCAAACAATCCAAAAACCCTCTGCAGCTTGAGGGCTCTCCCTTCCGCTGTCTTGATCTTAGGGTAGTGTATCCTTTCCCGTGTAGCACGTTGCTCTTTAATCACTAGGTTATTTGTTTTCCTTCTTGCCGAGGCTTCTTGCAGCATAAACTCATATATGAGCGTATGGGCTATATAGTACGACGGAGGCTTGGGACAGAGTAGCTGGCTTCAAACTGCCCAGATGGCATCGACATTCAGTAGGATAAAGAATTCCAAAATGACAGCGTCTTCTACTCTTCTCCGGCCAGTAGCAGGGGTCTTGTCTGGCCTTGCCTGCCCACAGCTGGTGTGTCTAGGGTGCTTCGTGTGGATGTGTGCCTTGCTCCTCTCCTGGGAAGGCAGAATTAGCTTTGCTAATGGGAAAGGTTGATGGGAGCGACCTGGAGCCGCTAGGCATGCTGTTTGCTTTTGTTCTGATTATAGCCGTTGGGGTTGAATTTTGTCCCTTACAATGACCTACATCTCTTACCCCCAGTACCTCAGAATGTGGCCTTATTGGAAAACAGTCACTGCAGATGTAATTCGTTAGGGTGACAATCCTAATGAAATAGAGTGGGCTCTTAAGCAATAGGATTGGTATCACGAAGCCAGTAGACACCTACGCTCCAGGCGAGGATGGTGTGAAGGGAGAAGGCGAAGGACTAAGAACCAGACAGGTTCCCTGACAGCCAGCCATTCTGGAAGCTCACTATTGTTATCAGCTGTCACCTAGTCATAGGACAATGGAGGCAGAAGCTGGAGTCGTACATCTGCTGACCTCAGATTGCTGGTACCCCCAGAGTGGAAGAGGCCATCTGGATTCTCCCCATGGGGTTCCTGTCTGCGGGCAGCCCCTCTGACACCTTGGTTTTGGACTTCTATGGAAAACCTTTGCAATATGGCTCCGTTATTTTAAGACAGTTTGGGCTGCTTCACAAAATTTGTGACCAGTTACCATCCCCTAATGACTTAGGTGTTCTCTTAATTATTATGAAATATTAAAAAGGAGATGTGTCTCCTTAGACTTACTTTTTTGGTGCAGTAATTACAGAGTCTTATCAAGATATTTCATGTTTTTAATCATTAAATCGTTGCACGTTGATTCATATATGTGGCATACAACTGGAAGCAGAATAAGCATGTGAAGGATTAGCCAGCTTCTGCTCCTCAGAAACAGAAAGAGATCGCCAACAACCCCCACCCCCCAATCATTTCTGTTGTTGTTTGTTTTTGTGTTGGGGATTAAACTCTGGGTCATACTAGATACATGCTCTGCCGTTGAGCTACGCCTCCAGCATTCCCCTAACCTACTAACCTCTTAAATTTTTTTTGTGTGTGTGTGTGTGTGTGTGTGTGTGCGTGCGCACATGCATGCTCACTGAGGCTAGAGAAACTTATCAGGTATTCTCTATCACTCAGTATTATTTCTTTTGAGGCAGGGTCTCCCTGAACCTGGAGTTTGCAAGATTTGTTTTCTTGACTTTTTCCATCTCTTCCGGTTCTAATGCAGTGACTTCTTCCTTCCTCAGAGTTGGGGTTACAGGCATTGTATCAAGCATTCCTGGCTTGCTAAAAGTGTGCTGACATCTGAGCTCCACATCCCATGAGAGAATAGCAAGCACTCTTCACTGCTGAGTCATCTCTTGAAGCTCCTCCCCCACTCTTGGCTGAGTCATCTCTCTGGCCCCCCAACAGTTCTTTCCCTGGTTTGAATGCTTGTTTGGGAGACAGACTCTCACTGTGTCTGGCCTGGGGGCCTGCTGTATAGACCAGGCTGGCCTTGAACCCTCACAGGTGTCCTGTGCCTCAGCCTCTAAAGTGCCTGTGGGCCACCACTCCTAGTTCCCACAACCTTTTTGGTAGTAATGTGCCCGATGGGGCACACCTTGGCAGCTGGATCTCCGTGAGCTCAAGGCCAGCCTGGTCTACATAAAGAATTCAAGGTGAGCCAGGATTACATAGAGAGACCCTGTCTCACTAAAAACAAACCCCTACCCCTAGCAACAAAAAAGTAAGTCTGACAAGAACTGTTTGTTTCCTTGGACCTCTGTGGAGGGGGAGTGGGGGTTGTCTTCTTCTTGGGAACCAGGCTTAACTGTCTGGGTTACATAGAACTCAGAATCCTCCTTTCCCTGCAGAAATGGTGTCTATGGCTTCTGATCACCTTCCTCGTGTGCTGTCCCGGCCTCCCATTCTCCTGGGGGCAGGTTTCTAAAGCTAGTTCTCCTTGGGTGTCCTTGATCAAACCCAGGGTCTGCCAGCAGGGAAGCAGGTTGCTCTGCCTCCCTCCTCAGGGAGATTCAGGAATTTGGAGGACCAGCCTCGCTTCTGGTTATTGAATAACTGGCAGGGCATCAGATGTCAGGGCTGAGAAAACAGAAGGACCTACCTGTCGTACCGCATGACCTCATAGCCCGGGCGGTTCTCAGGGTGTCAGCTTGCACTGTTTGTCAGGGCCTCTTTCATCACAAGCGCAGCTTACATCATGCCGTATTAAACACCCGTCCTGCCCATTGTCACTCAGCTAACATCAGGGTTGGTGGCAGTTTAAGGTGCCAACTACGCCCTGGAGGGTGGGCAGGAAACTTGCTCCTTTTCAGACTAGAGAAGGGAAAATGGGAATGGAGAAAGAATGAACAGGTCCCTCCCTGGATCTCCAGCCCAAGCCTTCCCTGGGGAGATCAAACCCTCTGTCTGTCCCTGTCCCCTCAAGCTCTTACCAGGCCACCCGCAGACAGGGATTGTGCTGCACTCACGATGGCTATGGACAATATCTCTGGTCCTTAGCCCATGCGTGCCCAGAGACACTTTCCATCCTGGGCCATGAACCCCAAGGCAAAGATACCAGATTTGCACGAAGGAGACTAGAAGGCATCTTGGTTAGCCAATCACTATGTTCTCCAGTTAGAACTGGATGGACTGGGGAGGATGAAAGGGAAGCAAGGATGCACGTCTCTTCATGGACATCCTCAGTGCTTTGCTCATTCGGCCTTGCCCTCAGAAGACATTGTTTAACTGCTGCTCTGGACCACACATCTGATCCCCACATCCTGGGGATGGGAAAAGAGGCATCCATAGAAGTTGACTTGTGCACAAGGAGAAATCTGTCCCGAAGGCCACGAGAGGAGAGTCAAGGTAAGAAGAAAAATCAGTTTGCAGCCTGGGAAGCAGATGGGGGTGGGGGGCAGGAAAGCCATTTGCAAAGAACCAGCTTAGGTGCTTTACATTAGAATACCTGGGCAAAATGACCAGGCCAGCCAGAGAGTGGGTAGCAGGTTTGCACAGTCCTACAGCCCAGAACAATGTCACAGCAGGGTCACTGTCTGCTGCTGAGCCCTCCTACCCGCCTTCAGATTATGTCGCAGTGTGGTGTACTTTGAGTGTTTCAGAATCAAGAGAGAAGCCTGATGTCTCTTTATTTAAGGATATTAATCCCATGAAGTCCTCTCTAGCCTCATCTCAACCTAATCCCTCGCTCCTCACCAACACACACACACACACACACACACACACGCACGCACGCACGCACGCGCGCGCGCGCGTGCGCGCACGCAACCTGTCTCCAATTCCATCACACTTGGAATTAGGATGCCAACCTAAGATCTGGGGGAAATGTAGTTCAGTCAGATGCAGGAAGTTTGTTCCAATTGTGACTTTGAACGTCTTCCCTAAACCTACTGAATGGTCTGCAGAATCTGCTTTTGGGTGGTTAGCTATGCTCAAGTGGGAGAAGGTTCTCGATAGGATGCTGTAGATTGCTGTATTGCAATAGCTGTTTCTAGTGAGAGTGGAAGCCAGATCCAATGCCACACGTGTGAGCATGGAGGTTGGCTCCATGGAGAGGCTCAGCGCTCCACATGTTCGTGACATCACTAAGACACGAGACCTTGACTGATGTAGAGCTGAATTTAAGGTGGTCGGTGATATGTTTTTGCAGAATGCATGGGAAGAGCCCTACATCAAATGTCTAAATCTATTTTAAGACTCTAGGAGCTCTCTCCTTTGAAAACAATTAAAAACGGTATTGTTTTTTATGAGGTGTTATGTGTGTTGGGCACGCGCCCTCCTACTGTACTCTACCTCTAGCAAATCTTCTTGCTTGTTTTTAAGTAATCATCTCATATAAAGAGATCTAAAGGCCGGGTGATGGCACACGCCTTTAATCCCAGCACTCTGGAGGCAGAGGCAGGCAGATCTCTGAGTTCAAGACCAGCCTGGTCTACAAAGTGAGTTTCAGGACAGCCATGGCTACGAAGAAAAAAACCTGTCTTGAAAATATATATATATGTATGTATGTATGTATATATATATATATATATATATATATATATATATATATATATAGAGAGAGAGAGAGAGAGAGAGAGAGAGAGAAAGACACACATGCTAGGCAGATAATTCACTCGGTAATGTCCTACCTCACAAATATTAGGACCCGAGTCCAGCCCTGAGCATGGATATAAAGAGCTGGGCACTTTAAGTCTCAGGACCAAGAAGACTGAGACAGGCAGATTCTTGGAGCTCACTGTCCAGCTAGTCTAGCTGAACTGATGGAACCCAGACTCTGTCAGGGACCCTGTCCCAAAACCAAACAAACAAATCAACCAACCAACCAACCAATAAGGTGAATGGGTCCTGAGGAATGACGCCAAAGGCTAATCTCTGGTCTCCAACATCCATGTGCATCTCCACACATATGAACATGCACACCCCCTCTAAAACGTAAGTGCAATTCTAAAGAGATTACTGGGGTGCATTGTTTAGTAAAGTGACTGTTGGGAAAACCCATTGGTTTCCATCAATTGTTAGCTCTCAGTAAAAAGGCAGGAAAGCTGGGGAGATATGGTAGTGCACTACCAGACATGGTACCACGTGTCTGTAATCCAGTACAGAGAACCTTGAGTTTAAGGCCAGCCTGGGCACATAGGAAAACCGTGTCTCATAAACCTAAGGACCGGGGATGGAGGTTAATGGTAGGACACTTACCTAGTCAGTTCAAAGGCCCTGGTTCAACCCCCCCTCCCCGTCCCCAGCTGCACTGTAGGAGAAAAGAGAGAGAAGGAGAAAAAGGGAAGAGAGAGAACAATGAAAGCAAAATCACCCCCCACACCAGGCAGAGCATGTGGTTAGATTAGTTGTAATTAGAGTTGGAAGAGATGAAATTTGGGGTTCCCTTGCCAGCCATTCAATGCTCTGACGGTTCCTGGGGATTATTTGAGTGAATAAGACAGGCACGGCCCCTTCCTGCTCCATGGCATTCATGCTCTCTAAGGGAAAGGATTCATGTGAGTGACAGATTGCAGGGAAGTTTGGTGCTAATACTCTCCTGGTGCCTTTGTGTCCTTAGGGACCGCACCTAGCCTAGGCTGGATGGCTGGGTACTGAGACAGCTGTGCTGCCTTCATTGGCAAACGTGCAGAAGCGTCAGATTGATCGGGTGTGCTTAGACTGCGCTAACCTTCGAAGGGAGATCTAAACCAAAGGGAAAAAGCAGAACCTCATCCAGAGTCAAGTGAGAGAGCCAATGAACAACTTGCAAACTGGCTGGTATAATGATTCAAATGGTAGTTGTCCAAGGCCACAGGGGAATGTGGAGGCAGGGACAGTGACACGGGAAGAGATATTGCTGCCATGTGAAGGAGCAGGAACTCAGTGGACCCATAGAAGCCATCAAGGAACCGGGTTCAGGCTGAATCTTGAAGTATGCGTGGCCTATCCTCCCAGGATTTCTCAGGTCTAAAGTTCAGTTCTGTTTGATCATCCAAACCAGCTAGACAGATCATCATGTCACCCAATCAAACCAGCTAGACAGATCATCACATCACCCAGTCACCCATTGTTCCCTGGTGGGTGACAAGCTGTGGTCACGACTGTAAACAGAAGTAAAGCGTCTGTCTGTCCACCAGGTGTGGTGGCAGACGCCTTTAATCCCAGCAGGGGCAGGCGAATCTCTGCAAGTTCCAGGACCGCCAGAGTAACACAGCAAGACCCTGTCTAAAAAAACAAGCAGACAAACAAATGAGTGTGAACCTCCTCCAGAGAGTTCACACCTGAACCCGAAACATCCGGTCACTTCCAAAGCCTTGCCTTCCCGCTGATCACAGTGTGCAGGGAGACATGAGTGTCTGGGCCGGTGGCCAGGTGGCATCCGAATAGAATGCTATCACTATTGTCCTCCAGGTTGGGGCATGAAGCACGAGGCTTTCCAGGCAATGATTTTATATATATATATAGTCCTCTGAAACTAACACATGTTATTTTCAAAAAAAATTAGAGGAAGACTGGCAAGTAGAATGTAAAGATACAGGAGGGTCAGCAAGCTAGCTCAGACAGTTGGAGTTTGTGTGTGTGTGTGTGTATTGTGAATTTTTCCCTAAGGGACACATTGGTTTTTATTTTCATAGTATAACAGCGCACACATTCAATTGTAAATTATTTGCCATTATTTCTTACTTTGAACACATTTTAGACAAAGAATTAAGACTGTCTTTATATCTGATTGATTCACAAGAAAGCGTAGGTCCTCGACTGTGTGTTGGGGCCAAATCCAAGACCTCCCACATGCTAAGTCCTAACTCACTCCTGATCCACGTCTGTACCAGAAAGCCGTCATCCTGCACAGCACCAGCCCCATCCTTACACTGGACGGCACAGAACTGTGTCTGCAGTTTTTCACTATAAGCTGTTGCAGAAATGTATGTACAGAAATTCTGCACCGGATTTTAAACTGTCACTGGTTCTGTAAGCTGGGACAGGGTTCTCTTTCATTTCAGCCACATCTGCACTTAGCGTCAGAGGCACATACATGTCTTACCTTAGCTTGTGAAGTGAGGGGCTCCATAGCCACTGTTCTTCATATGATGACTGAGCAAAGGCTGAGTTTGCTTACGTATGAGCCTGTTCTATTGCATTGCAAACTTCCAAAACAACAGGGCCCCCCTTCTAACTGCTGAGTTGGGGAGTAAAGTGTCCCTCAACCCCCTCTGAGATGTGAGTCTCCCTGTTCAAACCACGGCACACAGAGTTAGAGTCCTGATTCTAGAAGCCTTGGCACGTAGCAGCAGCAAGTGACCATTCTGCTTGATGGTGAAGGTGGGGGACAATGAGGAGTGACTCCTGAGCAGGTGTCTTATTACAGGAATCCAGTAAGGAGCAGACAGGAAGGAACTGTGCCACTCCGATGAGAATAGAGGAGCCAGAGGCGGTGACTACATCCCACAGCGCCTTAGTCAGCAGTGTCTTCTGGCATCTTCTGGTAAGTGCAGTCCACTCTCAAGGGGAGAGCCCTGAGAGCCATTCACTCCAGTCTTCTTCTGGGATGAGCTAGGGTTCTCAAGTGTCCTTCCTATAGATCTGTGAAGGCCTTTCTGGGCATCTGGAACCATAGTTGTGTGTGTGTGTGTGTCACTGTGCCCGACTCTCTATCTTTAGCAGGTTAGTTGATCTGAGATTTAGCCCGTGTTAGCTTCAGCATGTCTGCCCTACCTGAAATGCAGGGCACTTCCCTGGCTCTCTCTGTAAGCAGAACTGTGGTCATAACAATGAACGAATGTCACTTAGAACGAGTTGGAGCAGGTGTCAGCTTGACTTTTTATCATATTGGATGGCTACTTCCTGAGAGCAAACTCTGTACTGGTGATGGCCAGAGAGACTACGGAGGAGAACAAGAGAGTTCAAAGCAGAATTACCTGTTAAGGCACTGGTAGGCTGTGGGCATACGAGGGGCTGAGAGTGAGGGTTGTGAGTGATGGGGCAAGGGCAGGAAGCTAGACAGGAACCCAAAGACCGCGCAGGAGGATGAGGTGTGGCCCAGCTGCTGCAGGGAGTGCCCCACTCTGAGGTTGACTTTCTCCTGTGATCTAGGGTGTCCTTGAGACTCTCAGACCTCACTCAGCTCTTGCAGAACCAGGCCACAGAGGACCATTTTGCTATTCCGTGAGCATGGCCTTTTGACCAGGTGGCTTCAGAGAATGAGCCTGTCTGCTCCTCTCCACCCTCTGATGGGCTCCCCTGGGACAGCGATGGAGAGCCCCTCCCTCTTTGAGGAAGTCAGTGCTATGAGGTGCAACAGGACACCTGGGGCCCGGTGACAGTGACTCACTCTGTGCCCTCTGGGTAAGTTATTTCGTCTCCTTGGTTCCTTCCTCTTTCAGAACTGGAACAGACTCATTGTAGCTATAAAGGTTCGCTGGAGATCACTGCAGAACTTCAGCATGCGTGTGCATATGTGTGTGTATGTGCGTGCATGTGTGTGCGTGTATGTGTGTGTGTTAGGGGTGCCAAGGCAGCAGGGAAGCCGTCCTTCCCTCCCCCCATCTCCACACGTGTGTGTCTCTCATTACTGTCAGGAGGCGTTAAGATGGCCCCATGGAGATGAGAACAAACCCCTTAATTAGGCACTGTTCCCACATCCTACGAGGGACCAGCCTGGGCCTGGCTGCTCTGGCATTGTGGGGAGCCTAGCCCATGGGGGCAAGAGGGGGCAGGAGGGCACAGGAGGGCACAGGAGGGCGCAGAAGGGGGAGGCTGCAGCCAGGGCATCTGAAGGACTCAGCAGGTTTACACTTCGCTGACCTGATGGATGAATGGGGCCCTGTCCACCCACAGGGGGCCTGGAATCTTCAATTACGGCAATTACATCAACAGGTCGGAAGGGCAGCAGTTTCCACTGAAGAGGTGCAGGGCTTTAAAGAAAAATCCGAAAGCCACTGTTTTCCCTGCTTTCTTTGAAAGGGACTAGGCCGATCAAAGAAGACCCCATCTCCAGTCTAATTGGACCATAGGTAGAAAAGAAAGACGTGGCTGGGTTTTGTGTGAGAGCTGGCCGGCACGCGCTCACCCACCTCTGGCTCCTGTCCCATTTGGGTTTTGTGTTTAGAGACCCCGACAGCACAATGCTTTGAACTCACCTTTTAGAGGATAAGACATGGTGCCGCCGTCGCCTCTGAGTCTCCCGGCATGCTGGGCAGTGGTGCAATCAAGAAGGGTGGATTCCTTGGAAAAGCCACTAGCGTCTCTGTGAACATTTTAAGGGTGGATTCCTTGGAAAAGCCACTAGCGTCTCTGTGAACATTTTTCCCCTCACAGTAAAAGCAGCTCACTGCTGTCTACCTGTCCAAAGGGCCCGGTTGCAAACACATACCTCCCACCTAACTGGGCATTTTCTTTTCCTCAGCCACCTGTTAAGTAGTTAAGACCAAGTAAGGCTCTTACACCAGCAACAAACGATTGTTGCCGGAGAATTTGCTAGAAATGTAGATCTTGGACCTAATTCCAGATAAACAGAAATCTGCATTTTATTTACTAAGCTTCCCAGGAAATTTGTGGACACATTAAGACCTAGGGAGTGATTTTTCTAGGCTGAAACTTGACACAATGGACAGAAGCGAGCAAGGGGCAGGGAACCTGGTGCCCATTTGTTTCCCTCAGAAAACGAGGATTTATTCTTTCCTCTGTGAGGCCCGGAAGGAGCAGTTTATCATTGCGAAGGTATTTCATCCGGTCGCTGAGTAATGCAATCGGTGGACATGTGCTGAACAGCACTGTCGGGGAGGTTTGGGGCTCTTGCAATATTTTCCCTATTTAGGAGCAATCTGAAGTAGTCTAAAGGACTAAAAGAGCTAACCTTCCATAAAGCATGGTAAGTTCCGTCAAATGTCTGTGCTTAAAATAGTGGGTGACAAAGGGCGAAGCGGCCGAGCAGAAGGGGTCACCCATGTTAACGGGGCATTATGCTTCCAGCATGTCTAGCTCATTGGCGTCTAGCATCCCCAGGGATTTATCCCTGCCTTTCTCCCCTATCATCACCTCCGTGTGTCCACAGAAACAGTGGGATGTGTGTGGCTGCAGTCATGGGACAGGGGACAGAAATGGAGACGACATGGAGGACCCAGAAAATGTCTCCCATCAGAGGCAGCTTACACCCTGGATCAGCCAAGAGTGTGGGGGCCATCTCTCCTGGAGAGCTAACGTGACGTGGAGTGGTTGGTCACAGCTGGCGAGACAGGGAGTGGGGGCATCCATGCTGTTGCGTGAAGATGCAGAGTCACTTCCTGGTATGTGTGCCAGGACAACATGGCTAGAGACCCAGTACTGCAAAGCGTGAGTTTGACCAGAGGGCGAGCTCTCAGTGGCTTCCCCAGGCCACCAGAGGTTTTGGTCCCTTGTGGACTATCTGTCATAGTAAAGGTAAGGACTGAGGGACCAGGGTTTCTTGGTAGGTGAGACCAGCAGTGTGCTGTATTTCCAGGTTCCTCCTGCTTGGCTCTCAGTGATTAAGCTAAAGGCAAGGACTTTGTTTTGCTTGTATTGGATAGCACCCTTGGGTGCTGAGTTAAAACTTAACCAAGCTTGCAAATAAGGGTTATCTGTTGGTCTCTGGCATGGCCACAGGGGCAAAGGCTTTCTGCACCATTGCTCTCAGTGTGGACACTCACTCTCTTTGGGAGCACAGCGCGGTGATACCCTGTCACTGGTCCTTGTCAGTGTAGAGCGGTATAGGTGGACAGTGTTTAGGGGACCCAGGGCATTGCTGCTCTAGGTGGATTGTTACTGTGGATGTGACTAGCAATGTGGTACCCTAGACGGAGCGTGAGATTAGGGACCAGGCCTGACTGGCTCCCAATGTGGGTGTCTCATCAGACAGCGTGGTACTTGGGAAAGCACTTCATCGCCTGCACCCCACTTTCCCACCCCACTTGGAGTGGTCTGCCCTCGCCACACCATGAGGACTGAAGGAGAGTACAGTCCCACAGATGTTGGCTACCAAAGACTCTTACTGTGATCCAGCCTCCCGGGAGCCTAGGGCTTGAGAATCAACTGCCTTCTGATGTAGGTGGGTCTCCTGCCTTCAGTTCATGAAGCCTTATCAACATCAGAGCTGATGTTGGAAGGTCCCACCCTGCAGAACCATGGCCACATATCTCTCCTTAGAAACATGTATGTGCACATGTGTGTGCATGCATATATATACATTTATATATTCAATTACTAAGTGCTTATTGTGCTTACACACTCCAGTTTCAGGAGATACAACCCCTTTTTCTGGCATCTGAAGGCACCAAGCACACACACACACACACACACACACACACACACACACACACACACGGTGCACAGTCAGGCACAGAGGCAAAAACACCCATACATATAAAATAAAAATGAATAAATCTATTAGATTTACATAGCTGTTTTGAGAGCCCTGTATGTGGGACATCTTGTTTTAGTCAGGATGGGTTAGGTAATGCTATGGCAACACCGGAGGCAACAGATACCCATATCTCACAGCCTTGCTCTTTAGTAAACAATCTGCAGCTGGCTGTGAGTCTGGCCTGTGCCCAGCACCTCAGCATGGTACACAGAAACCACTGTAGCCAGGGGAGAGAGGGTGGAGAGTCCTGCATCTGCCGGGAAATGATACTGATTGCCGTCTGTGCTCCACCAGACAGAGGATGTCAGGTTGCCATACCTAACTTCAAGCAGACAAGGAGTAGCAGTCTCCTCCGGGCTCTTAGGAAATAAAATCTGGAAATACTGTGAGCCTTGCGATGGCTACCACACTGGACCTGCAGTCCTTATGCCAAACCCCAGATGCATCTTCACCCTGAGCTTACACAGGAAGAAATGGAGGATTAGTGGGTCCTGCACATTCCCACGGCTTATAAAAGGGAGGTGTGGGATTTAAATTAGAATGTCTGATAGCAAAGTGTTTGCTGTTTGCTGTCACCTATGAGCCTTTGTCAACACATGACTGTATTTCATGATAAAAAAAAATTGCAGTCGGACTGGAGAGATGGCTCAGTGGTTGAGAACACTGGCTGCTCTTCCAGAGGACCCAGGTTCAATTCCCAGCACCCACATGGCAGCTCACAACTGTTTGCCACTAGAGTTCCAGGGGATCTGACACCTTCACACAGGCAAGACACTAGTAAACATAAAAGAAGATTAAATAAATTTTAAAAAATAAAGAACACTGCTGGTAAGGTAGTAGCAGATGGATGGCCGACATGCTGTAGAGTGTGCCTGGAGGGACTTCATTCTGTGAAGGACAGCCCTGCTGGCAAAGGTGACTCCCAACTCTAGATCTTGACCAGGTCAGATTCAGACACTGAGAGATGTTTATTCTATCGGTTGTTTTCCCCATCAGGGTGTTACATGTTCGAGGACCATCTCTGAAGTTTATTTACTCCACACACTTGGCTTACTGGAGGGATGGGGGCTCCCAGGAAAGTTGTTTTGAACTGGGCTTGACCAAGGAACTTTTCTGGAATGGGCCCTAGGGAGGGAGAAACCAGATACAGGGGCCAAGTAGGAACTGGGTTTGATTACCCAGTGCATCCTCCCTCTCTTTCTCCCTGCTCTTCCTCCAGTTTTCCTTCCCTCCCTTTTCCTCTCAGCCTTGCTGTCTGCTTAGGCTAGTGCTGTGTGTGTGTGTGTGTGTGTGTGTGTGTGTGTGTGTGTGTGTATGTGTGTGTGTTTGTGTGTATGTAGGGGCGTGCTTGGGAGGGAGATAGGAAAAGTTTGGCTCCCTGAGGTCTCATAGGACCCAAGGTCCAGTGTTTGTCTAGAAATTCAAGAAGAAACCTCCAGGGTGAGGCAGTGACCCCATGGAGAAGTGTGCGTAACTGGAGGAAAAGAAAATAAACCTGCCACCCAGTGCACAGCCTGTAGGTCATGGGGGAGTGCCAGCCTGCCGCTCAGGACTGATGAGTCAGGAGCAGACTATTTCGCCAGCATGCCTCAGCCTGGACGCTGCTGCCCCTCGCTGGCCCCTCGCACCTGGCCTTGCCCACAGCTGGGTTCCAGCCGCCCCCCCCCCCCTGTGCCCCTTCCTCCCAGGAGCCAGGTTTGGGAAGGCAGCTGAAACAGAAGACAGTGTTTGGGTGGGTTTTATTCTCCTCCTCTTCGAGATCCCCCAACTCTGACTCAGGGAGAATTTGAGGGTCAGAGATGGACTAGTACCTCAGGGGTGGTTTGGATACACTGAGGGGTAAGAGGAGCCGGGGGCCACCTTTGTACAGCACTCAGTGTGACACTTTCAGAGTTCATCAGCTGCCAACAGGGCCTGACCGAAAAGTCTCTACTGGAGAAGCCATTCTGTGCGCCTTTCTGGGATTCCACTATTTAATTCCCCCTCACCTCTCCACACTGCCTCTCATCCATACGCTGGAAGATAACGGTTCACTTCAGGAGGCTTCTAGACCAGCTGTTGCCAAGCACGGTGGCTCATCATACAGGAAGCTTTTAAAAACTCGTCCTCTCTGGACAGTGGCAGCTCACATCTTTAATCCCAGCAAGCAGGAGGCAGAGGCAGACGGATTTCTGAGTTTGAAGCCAGCCTTTTCTACAGTGAGGGTTCCAGAACATCCAGGGTTATACACAGAGAAACCCTGTCTCAAACAAAACAAAATAAAAAAAAAAAATAACAAACAAAAAACCAAGCCAAACCAAACAAACACGTTCTGTCTGAACTGAGGTTCAGCTGGTGGAGTGACTGCAGAGTATGCGTTCGGTATGGGGGCACACACGTGTAATTCCAGCCATGCACGACTGAGTTCAGGCAGGCCTATGTTCACAGATGTGAGGGGGGGGAGAGAGAGAGAGAGAGAGAGGAGAGGGGAGAGAGAGAGAGAG